ATATGTCTTACTGTTGTAGATCTGTCTTACTTATGTAGATATGTCTTACTGTTGTAGATGTGTCTTACTGTTGTAGATGTGTCTTACGGTTGTAGATGTGTCTTACTGTTGTAGATCAGTCTTACTGTTGTAGACGTGTCTTACTGTTGTAGATCTGTCTTACTGTTGTAGATATGTCTCACTTTGTAGATCTGTCTTACCGTTTAGATCTGTCTTACTGTTCTAGATCTGTCTTACTGTTGTAGATCTGTCTTACCGTTGTAGATCTGTCTTACTGTTGTAGTTCTGTCTTACTTACGTAGATCTGCCTTACTGTTGTAGATCTGTCTTACCGTTGTAGGTCTGTCTTACTGTTGTAGATCTGTCTTACCGTTGTAGATCTGTCTTACCGTTGTAGATCTGTCTTACCGTTGTAGATCTGTCTTACTGTTGTAGATCTGCCTTACTGTTGTAGATCTGTCTTACCGTTGTAGGTCTGTCTCACTTTGTAGATCTGTCTTACCGTTGTAGATCTGTCTTACCGTTGTAGATCTGTCTTACTTATGTAGATCTGCCTTACTGTTGTAGATCTGTCTTACCGTTGTAGGTCTGTCTTACTGTTGTAGATCTGTCTTACCGTTGTAGATCTGTCTTACTATTGTAGATCTGTCTTACCGTTGTAGATCTGTCTTATCGTTGTAGATCTGTCTTACCGTTGTAGATCTGTCTTACCGTTGTAGATCTGCCTTACTGTTGTAGATCTGTCTTACCGTTGTAGGTCTGTCTCACTTTGTAGATCTGTCTTACCGTTGTAGATCTGTCTTACCGTTGTAGATCTGTCTTACTGTTGTAGATCTGCCTTACTGTTGTAGATCTGTCTTACCGTTGTAGGTCTGTCTCACTTTGTAGATCTGTCTTACTGTTGTAGGTCTGTCTTACTGTTGTAGGTCTGTCTTACCGTTGAAGATCTGTCTTACTGTTGTAGATCTGCCTTACTGTTGTAGGTCTGTCTCACTTTGTAGATCTGTCTTACTATTGTAGATCTGTCTTACCGTTGAAGATCTGTCTTACTGTTGTAGATCTGCCTTACTGTTGTAGGTCTGTCTCACTTTGTAGATCTGTCTTACCGTTGTAGGTCTGTCTTACTGTTGTAGATCTGTCTTACCGTTGTAGGTCTGTCTTACTTATGTAGATCTGTCTTACCGTTGTAGATCTGTCTTACCGTTGTAGATCTGTCTTACTGTTGTAGATCTGCCTTACTGTTGTAGATCTGTCTTACCGTTGTAGGTCTGTCTCACTTTGTAGATCTGTCTTACCGATGTAGGTCTGTCTTACTGTTGTAGGTCTGTCTTACTGCTGTAGACCTGTCTTACTATTGTAGATCTGTCTTACTGTTGTAGATCTGCCTTACTGTTGTAGGTCTGTCTCACTTTGTAGATCTGTCTTACTGTTGTAGATCTGTCTTACTGTTGTAGGTCTGTCTTACTGTTGAAGATCTGTCTTACCGTTGTAGATCTGTCTTACCGTTGAAGATCTGTCTTACTGTTGTAGATCTGTCTTACTGTTGTAGGTCTGTCTTACTGTTGTAGATCTGTCTTACTGTTGTAGATCTGTCTTACTGTTGTAGATCTGTCTTACTATTGTAGATCTGTCTTACCGTTGAAGATCTGTCTTACTGTTGTAGATCTGCCTTACTGTTGTAGGTCTGTCTCACTTTGTAGATCTGTCTTACTGTTGTAGATCTGTCTTACTGTTGTAGATCTGCCTTACTGTTGTAGATCTGTCTTACCGTTGTAGGTCTGTCTCACTTTGTAGATCTGTCTTACCGTTGTAGATCTGTCTTACTGTTGTAGGTCTGTCTTACAGTTGTAGGTCTGTCTTACTGTTGTAGGTCTGTCTCACTTTGTAGATCTGTCTTACCGTTGTAGGTCTGTCTTACTGTTGTAGGTCTGTCTTACCGTTGAAGATCTGTCTTACTGTTGTAGATCTGCCTTACTGTTGTAGGTCTGTCTCACTTTGTAGATCTGTCTTACTGTTGTAGATCTGTCTTACTGTTGTAGATGTGTCTTACTGTTGTAGATCTGTCTTACTGTTGTAGATGTGTCTTACTGTTGTAGATGTGTCTTACTGTTGTAGATCTGTCTTACTGTTGTAGATCTGTCTTACTGTTGTAGATCTGTCTTACCGTTGAAGATCTGCCTTACTGTTGTAGATCTGTCTTACTGTTGTAGATCTGCCTTACTGTTGTAGATCTGTCTTACTGTTGTAGGTCTGTCTCACTTTGTAGATCTGCCTTACTGTTGTAGATCTGTCTTACCGTTGAAGATCTGCCTTACTGTTGTAGATCTGTCTTACTGTTGTAGGTCTGTCTCACTTTGTAGATCTGTCTTACTGTTGTAGATCTGTCTTACCGTTGAAGATCTGCCTTACTGTTGTAGATCTGTCTTACTGTTGTAGATCTGTCTTACTGTTGTAGATCTGCCTTACTGTTGTAGATCTGTCTTACTGTTGTAGGTCTGTCTCACTTTGTAGATCTGTCTTACTGTTGTAGATATGTCTTACCGTTGAAGATCTGTCTTACTGTTGTAGGTCTGTCTCACTTTGTAGATCTGTCTTACCGTACAACAGTAAGACAGATCTACAACAGTAAGACAGATCTACAACGGTAAGACAGATCAATGTATTGTACATTTTACTGCCACTACAATACTTATTTCTGTATGTGTCGTACGCCTGCCCTATCGTGTGCGTGCGTGCGTGCGTGCGTGCGTGCGTGCGTGCGGATACTGGTGTAAGAAAGGAAATGTAATCCATGCTTATATTTAATAACAATTTTCAAATGACAAAAATGGAAATCAATAATGGCTCCCCCTATAGTGAACATATCTTTCTGAACATATTTCAAAGTTTATTAAGTATCCATGTTCATCCCCTGAAGCTACTCAACCACTAGTGCGTGCTGGAACGTTAGCCATGATGAATGTCCCCAAAGTGATGTATGTACAGCACTGGCATCAATATTTGCCGCATATATTTATTGTTTTTCAATGCATTTTACAAGTAACGCTTCAATAAACAATGTAGTTACTCGATGTAAACTATGCACAGTTTACAGCCTGCATATAGCTCCAGACATAGAGTACAGTAAGCAATTATCAACCACGCATGAGAGCGAGTTTGTCATGCGAGGCTAATTTCAGTGAAGCCATGGAAGCTATAGGATAGAGACTGAACCATCTCCATTATCTATGTGCATTTGGAGAATGTACAAGTAGGGATTGTATAAGACTAGCATCTAGTCTCTGAAATGAAAATATTTTACAGGAAAAAACATTGTTGAATTATCTTAATACCAATATGACAAAGAGAATCCCAGAGACTATCTTGATTTTCAGCTTGAAACTGCAGTAATCTAGACTTGCCAACAATTATAGACTTACCTGGGCTGTATTGGATATAATTGTTTTCGGGTCTGTATGACTAGGATTGCGCTGAAATCTTGAAGAATGGCTTACTGTTGTAATCGTGAAAATGCTTCATAAGAGACTTAGTGAATTGTTTGTATACAGCAAAGCCGGGTTATAGTGTTATTTTTAAAAGAGAGGTTGCACTAATACACATGCTCGATGAATACAAATAACTGCCGAAGGACATTAAACTGTGTGTAGTAGTAGAAACCACATCAACAAATGATGTAGTGATATGATTTGTTTGTGGTCGCACATGTTCGGTACGGTTCAGAATCACGTTGTCTACCACATGTAAACATGTGTAGTATGTCACAAAGTGGTACCAATGGTCCTCCGAGCTCTGGGTCCGCTGAAGTCCTGCCAAACACGTGTTTACCATGGAAACTTACACCATATGTCTTCTCAGCACTATACCCTAGAAGTCACGCAATTTGTGCATGTAAAACTCGATAGGAAGTAATTATTATAGCGGCGTACATTTGTCAAATTCTATAACATCCCACCCCTATTGGTCGGGTAGTCTAGTGGTTAAAGCGTTCGCTCGTCACGCCGAAGACCCGGGTTCGATTCCCAACATGGGTACAATCCTACAATGTGTGAAGCCCATTTCTGGTGACCTAAGCCGTGATATTGCTGTAATATTGCTAAGGCGGCGTAAAACCATACTCCCTCACTCACTCCCTTTTCATCAACTATGGCTATCGCTATTAAAATGGAATCAGGGGTACTTTGAAATATATAGGGTGAGTTTTTCATACTTCCATCGTTTTTATTTATGTTCATCGTTTAGCTTCATGCCAGAAGTAGAAAATGTCGAACTGATCCTCTCAAACATAGTGACTCTGACAAGGTTACGAGTAACATTCACGCAAAAAGCGCTCACCCCAACCCACCCCACTCCTACCCAACCGGGTGCATGTGAGAAAAATTAAACAACCAAACCTCCAGAGCCCCGAATGAATATAGATCAAGTATCTGTGTATGCGCCCTCCTTGACAATGGCAATATTTTTTTCAGTTTCCTGAATAATGCCAGGTGTGACGTAACGTGGGGTAAAACTATATTTGTATGTCATCACTTAAAAGGATTCGGTGCCCAGTTAACCTCATTCAGGTGGAATGGTTATTGATATTTTACGTACGCTTTGATAATTCTGTGCTGTTGATCCGAATATGCATCGTCGGTGCATATCAACATATTTGGGCAAATGCATTTGATGAACATTGTCATGTACAATTGGATTAGATTCACGTTTGTATAATGCAAGATGTAAAAAAATATGTGGCATGTCGGTTTGGGAAATATAGAATGTAGATCTATTTATTATTCAAATGATGTTCGAACTCCACACAAGGCATATTCTACACTCACAATGCCAGAAGTTATACGTAATGACATATGTCGTAATACGCAAAGTGGTGTTTTCCCATTCAACAATATGTTTAAAACATAGATATGGTTATCGTGTGTTCAATGAATGTAATATATGTGATCTACGTGTGTATTCAGATCAAAGATGCATGGGCCGGTATCCTCACGACTTACCAGAAACACATTTCCCTAAAAACTTACTCAATAAAACTCCAGCTGGGAGACGGTGCTGTAATTTAGATAGGCCTCCGCCTCGAGACTCAGGATGGCGACGCAGTGGAGCAGTGAGCATTTCGTTGCCGAATATCGAGACATTCAGGTCGTAAAATGTTTATATTAGCCTACTTCAAGTGACGTAACTGCACGGTGTTTCACTTTCACAGTGTCAGTCATTACAAGCAACACTACAAGAAGTTTTGTTAGACCGCTTGAGATTGACACCCACTCGTCATGTGAAGATCTAATTTAATCATTAGTTTCCGATATATTAAGATTAACTTTGTTCGGACCTTGATGTGACAATGTCTTGAATAAGACATATAACCTGTTACTGTTGTCTCATGTAGGAAACATTATTCATGTGCAGTTGCCTTTTGGAAAAGGTCAAATATTTGGGGACATCTTCAACTGCCTTGTCCTCGTCTTAAGCGCAGGTCTAATTATAGAAACGTGTTATAAGCACACTGCGAGTCATTGGCTGATTATGAGTCTTTAGGATTTAAAATGGCCAGAGACCATAAGAGTGACATCACATATAGACTGATGCTACAATGTCTTCTTCTCATGGTGATGCTGTAGTGGTTAGGGGTCAAACAAAACTGAAGGATACGATATGTATCTTGATACACTGGTCACAAAATGGTACATATCTTGATACACCAGAATAACAACACAAGGCCATGAACTGAAATACTCCTGTATTTCAGATGAGTGTTAAAGTTTGGGATAGACTTCTTTGTTATCTGTTCCGAGTCCTTTACAAAAAGCACCAGGGAAGCCGAAATGGTCCCAGACAGCCGATCTGCAGGGTATGCAAGTGGCCTTTGAAGCTCTCATTTGTCCCTATTTAGATACGGTTATTCTTTCACTGAAAAAGTACAAAACGCATATTTTGTATCATGTATCACATTTGCGGCCTTGCTAGTGGTCATATATTGTGCGCAGAGAGACCCCTGCTTTATACAAAATAGGTCATAGGTATATTGGTGTATATGACTGATCACTTCATGATTCAAGCCAGACGTTTTTGCATCCCAAAGGACCTGCAATGAATATTGCTTGTGTCCATTTAATTTGTATGCGTAAAGGTTGCAATATTTTGTATCTGGTGAAACCCTGCTTCTGGAATGTGTTATATCAATGGACGCAGATAATGTCACATTGCTCATTCATGGGAAACACTGTCATCCACTAGTATGACTGCTAGTGTCCGGCATGTATTATTGGCGGTCATTCAGTCAAAAAATACAAAGTTGAAATATAGAACAAACGTACACAATAATAGTCAAATGTTATGAGAACCATTTTTTTTTACAAATAAAAGTAATTATTAGCATTCAAATAATTCTCTGAAAATACAAAATGATACCAATGAACAACTCACAACTGGAAGTCATATGGAAAGAAACAACAGTGTGCACTAAAGAACATCTCAGTATTATTATAGTCATGATAGTCTGAGGTAGACCAAGTGTCACAATATTCTTGCACAACGTTCACAAGTCTGATCTTATGAAAATGTGCGTCAGAAATAACTCGGCATTATGTTAAGTGTCCTTGTGCACTGACGTACATTCTTCGTTCTTTACAAATGATAGCTTTTGTTTGCGAGTTGTTCATTGGTATCTATTTGTATTTTGAGTTCATTATTCGTATGTTAATAATTACCTTTGTAACGTTCATTCTTTATTTGTAACATTTGATTACTGCATACGTTTGTCCTTTATTTCAACTTTGAATTTTTTTACCGGATGGCTGCCCATAATGTATAACACTGAGGGAATAACATGAAGAAACTTAGTTTTATTGCTTTGTTCAGTATAAAGTACCCTATCTCTGCCTGTCATTCAAACATGATTGACTAATCAGAAAGTTGGAAAAGCTACAGATTCCATCATTTTGTACGAAAAATTCAAACCTGTCAAATATTCTTCTTGGAGTAATGTATCTTCTGTACAGCTACAATGTGGTTGTTTTTATTGGAGAAAAAATAATTAACTATTGATGCACATTGATGCACATAATGATGGGCTAAAGGCATGCATACCAGATGGTCCCACATGATGTAGAAAACATCATATCAAGAAATATTACATGTCATGCAATTGACATATAAGTGGATGACAATGTCTCATTATTTGGGGGGTTATGTTTAATTCCACTCTTGTGATAGGTTAATTCTTCATATGAACATGATTAGAGTCAACAAGAGATGCGAAAAAGTAAATGGTACCCTTCTTGTGTGTCAAATCTCCTGTCATGTACATATGGAGTTGAGGTGTAATGGGGTTTAATGTCACGTCCAAGATTATTTCACTTACATATCGACGGCATGCACGTGTGTGTGGCAGGATTGCTTGTACTGGTCCAGACGAATTTTATAGTGCTAGCCCACTGAGATACCATGCCGCAGTTTAACATGAATACCCCTCTCAGGCACAGTATACTAACTCTGAGCCGACCAGTACTTGTTTTAGCCCCTGAATGCCAACGCCGTAATGTCTTTTGGTATGACGTGACCGGGGATCAAACCCCCAACCTTCCACTCTCTGGGTTGAAGCTTTACCACTAGACCACGGAGGCGGCCGTACATATAAAATACATGTCCCACATTAGGGTACCGTTACCTCTGGCTGGGCTAGAGGTTGTTGTCATTTATGGTTATATATGATACACATATCTGATATGACAGAATATGAAAAAAGGTCTTCAGACAGCAACAATGCAAAAGTATTTATGTTATTTATGAAAATCCGTTGGCATGTCTTGGTACATCATATTATTATTAGCCATTTTCTCAGCAATTTCTGCATGAATCATTGAAAATTTGATAGTCAGTGCATGGTATGTGCACTAACATTGGAACATTAACAATGTAATACCCACCTGTTTGTCAAGTGCACCTACTATTTTCTGCCTGCTGGTATGATAAAGTGCTTTTTTGCTGACTAGCAGAGACATGATTGAGTAAAAACATTTGCTCTCTGGGGTACTGTTTTACAGATATTGTATTTTGTTTGCAGGCAAACGCCATGGCTGTGGACACTGTCGGAGAATGGGCACTGTTAGGGGGGTAAGTGATGCTGATACTAGTGGAAGCCTACTTTCCCTGTAGCTGTACGGTAGTCATGGTTGTAGTCATAGTGGCAGTTGTACGGTAGTCATTGTTGTTCTCTTGTTGAAGATGTGGAATTTTACCAACTAGCAGTGTGTCTGTTATTTGATGCATTGTTTTTCACTTTACTTTTTCATTAATATCTGAAGACTTAAGACTGAATGAATGATTCCAGGCTGACCATGCAAAATCCACCAGTAGTTGCTGACTTGGATGAGGGCTGCATCAAGGCTTCAGTGTTGTGAGCGTCCTCGCATCTGGGCACAAATCTCCATCTACTGCATCCGATTCACTGCATACAATCAATGAGCTAATTTACCACTACCATTTTCAAAACTTTGTTGAATTTCAAACTTACCAAACTCTTTAGGTAGAATGTTTGTTTCAGCATGTTCAGGGTGGACCTGAATGTGTGGCACTCTAACTCTTTTCTGTCTGCCATGATGTTTCCCTTGCTATCATATGCTTAGGTGCTCATGTTATTCGAGGTTTATCCAATTGAAAAGCAGTTTGGGGGATGAACAAAAGTATTTTTAACCCATCAGAAATGAGGGAATATAGGCTTTAGGTGGTAGACCGATGTTTGTGTAGTATCTTAAAGAAAGACTATGTTGTATCAAAGGTATTATCACCAAATGGAGATGGTAGCATTGGTAATGTCAATACAGTGATGTAATCATTCTGATTCTGTTCTACATTTTGGATCACTGTCTGTACATTCTGTGTTGACTGCTGCCTTTGTCAAGGGCTCAACAGCCCATTCAATACCAGTGTACACACGGCTCTGGTGCAACATTGCTATGTGTGATAGCATAGTAGTGACTGGTGTTGCTTGTCATACATTGTACATGATTCACTCCTCAAAAAGATGGTGTTGCACCCATTCCTGGTGCACTTCTGTCACTCACTAACCTTACCCTGTACATATATATAAAATATGTTTTTTTAAAGAAATACATGTAAGTACATCCCAGTATTTCATTGGTTGATGAGGTTAGTCCACACATGGTGTTACCATGAATATACTGGTGTCTGTGTCAGCCTTCACAGGCACTCTCCAGCCTCTCAGCTTCCTTCACTTTGATATAGGTGCATCATATTCAGTGGGGAGTTCATGGTTCCCCAATCTGTCAAAACGGCTGGAATATTGCTAAAAATGGCGTAAAACCATACTCACTACAAGCACACACCCCACACACGTGCATGCACATCGCGATATTAGTGAAATAATCTTGAACATGACATTTAACTTCATTTCACCTCACCAGTCTGTCAGCTTGAATTAAAACTGGATGGTCAGAATGGTTCCAGTAGTATGAATGCTAAAACAGCATCAAACCCATGTTTTGGGTTGAAATTGGAAGTACAGTGACTTGAAACTGGGGGTCTCAGCCTTCTGCTGTATGGAAGCATCCCTGATAAAAGCCTGGTTCCTTGTACACTTGACTTACTGTTTTAGGCAGGACATTTAATTTTGGTATATTAGTAGCATAGAGGATTCTAGGGCAACACGTCTGGCAAACCTTCCCCCCAAGGGACATGGTGTCCAGACACACCATGAACTAGGTCACACATCACAGGCACCCAATTAGCTTGATTTGCCAACTCTAATGACAAGCATTTTGTGGTTCCACAGACATTTTCTATCATGCAATCCTACAGGGAGAAGTTAAGGTAGAAACTCGTATAACAAAATACAACAGTCAGCCATCTCTGCATTCAAGTTCTCATATACTCTCCATATACAATAAAGTCATATCAAAGTCAGCCAAGTTTAGCATAGTAGTTCACGGCACGCAGGTACTGGATGAGTTTTCTCTTGTCTTTGAAGTTGAACTTTCAGTCTTTTAAGACTGTGCTCATTCTCTCTATAGACTTGCTTTGCACCAAAATCACTTCTCAATGGAACTGATGATGGCAATAAATCTGTGTTTCGGGTGAAGATAAGGCAAGGATTTGTTGAGTCGGAAATGGAGTCCTTCTAAGTTGTTTTTTGTTCATGGTCCAGTTATCAGGTAGTAGTTCCATCGACCAACAGGGAAGAACCATAGTCAACCTGTGTTGCCACAGCATAGTCATTGAACTCCTTACTGCAATAAACATCATGATTGAGTTTTGATCAGGGGTTTCAATCCAGGTGAGAATCACAGTCAGGTGACTGAGAGAGGTTATATTTAGCAGAATGTGCAGTGTACTCATCACCAGCACTAGCTGAAATAAATGTAACTTTACCGTGTTTATTTGAGTATATCTCAGTGTGTTATGTGGAATGCACTATGCCCCACATGCCCATTGTTTAGGGATTATCCCAGCTTCCTGGTTGACTAGAGAACATTCAACCATGGCTCTTTTGTCTTTGACTGTGGTCTAACTAACTGAATTGTTAGTTAAACACCACTTGGAAATGACGGAACTTCATTTATCTTGATGATTGAACAATTTCATGGAAAAACCTTTGAACCCACGAAATCTGCACGGAAGGCTAACGAATGTAGTCTTCTGCCACAGTGACATGGGAGAAATTGTATAAAATTAACAACTAAATATTTACTTACATCAGGACTAATTGCTTAACCATTTATGAACTACGAAATATGTTTTATGCAATTTTTTTACAGTATGTTACTCTGTGCATTCTATGCGTGCCTTGTGGTTTAATCAACCATTTCAACAATAAGACACCTATCCTCGTGGTCTGATCTATACATAGGACTGGGCAAGTGAGAGGACCCTGGCTGCAGATGCCAGCAATGCTTTCAATGCAATGTTTGTTTAGGGAGTCACAGGAGGATTTGGTCAAACCCCAAATATGGGTCCTGTAACAAACAGTTAATCGTTTTTGATTACTTGTTATGAAGGCTATAACTGATCTGCTTGTTAACATATACAACCTGACTTGCTGACAGGCACCATGATGACATAATATGATGTGGCATCACCCACCACCTCACTACTGTCTCCCAGTGTCATGCTGAGTGTCCACTGGTGGCCCACAACAGGAATATAAATGTCAAACAAAATGATTTCACTCAAAACAAATCTTTGTAACATGTTCCATTAGCAGGGTGTTTTACAAGCTGAATGTTGTCCCGCACCGAGGGAGAGTTGAAAACCTTAACTCGAAACCCCTGCACACCCTGGTGGTGACACCAGCATCTCATCATCACCATACCAATACAGACATGTTTAGGGCTGATGCTACATCACCATCACGGTACAGACATGTTTAGGGCTGATGCTACATCACCATCACGGTACAGACATGTTTAGGTCTGATGCTACATCACCATCACAGTATAGACATGTTTAGGGCTGATGCTACATCACCATCACAGTACAGACATGTTTAGGTCTGATGCTACATCACCATCACAGTACAGACATGTTAAGGTCTGATGCAACATCGCCATCACGGTACAGACATGTTTAGGGCTGATGCTACATCACCATCACAGTACAGACATGTTAAGGTCTGATGCAACATCGCCATCACGGTACAGACATGTTTAGGTCTGATGCTAATGAGACACAACAAATAGGATTGTTTAAAGTAAAGCAATGTCAAACAAGATGTGCATGTTTTCTGATAACGTACATTCTCAGTGCTCAATAGTTGAGGCCATGGACCACATTTACTTCTGACATCTCACAGCAGTCTGTGCCAGAAGCATATAAGTCTAGTAGCCCAAACTTGGCAGCAGACTTCAGAATTATATGGATTATTATTTAGTTTACTCCAGTTACTAGACCGAACTTTCTTGACTATACTTGGGCTGCAGACAAGTGGTCACAGCATACTGTAGCAGGATTATTAGTGTTTGGAAGTGGTTCAAAAATTTAATCAGTGGTCCGAAAAAGCAATGGATGATTGATTGTTGATGAATGATTGATCGTGAACATTTATGAAAATTCACCTAAAATGAAAATCAATTTTTCTTAGCACCTTCACTCAGACCCAATAAAGAATGTTATTGAAATATTTTACTAGACCCAGCAAGACAAACACATCTCCTAACATAAAAGACTTAGTTTTCAAAAAATACTTTATAACTTTATAATAATTATCCTGTGAATGATTTTTAAGGAAACTAATGGAACACAGATTTTATGATTGCTTCTTTCAAAATGAAACAAACCATAAATCAGTTGATTTTTGAAACAGACTGTGGGCAGCACACTTTATGTTTTCTTCTTGTTTTGTTGTAAATTACTCAAATAGTAGTATATATTTAGCCAGTATTACAGTTGTGACAAGATGAGAAATGAGCCAGTCTATCTGATTCAGGAGTTCTCTTGACACCGTAACATCACACAAATACTGAACACCGTACCCACAACAGTAAGCAGTGCTCAGCTATGTGTTTGTAATACTGTTTGAGAGGTTTAGTGTAACTCACACCATGCTCAGTAAACCTGACACACAATTCTTGTTTCATCTAGGATAATATGTCCAACATACAGAATTTAGAATTTGTGTGTAACCAGTTCTCATCAGCAGCTGTGTGCCTATCTTCCTTCATGGTATACACCTGGAAACTCTCACACCATGTTTCAGTAGTTCCTGAATAATATTATCTTGTTTTTGTAGTGCAACTTATCAATTATTAACAGTCTCAATAAAATTCTAAAATATAAAAAGTATCGGCTGTTTTGGTGTAATACTCGCTCTTCAAGTTCAAATAAAGCATCACTTCCTCATCTTACTGGTAAGACATATTGAACCTCAACACAAGGCACTTTTTACAGTGTTTTACGTGTATTACATTGCAATGTTAATACCACTAGTCACCAAATATGGCATTAAATTACTATTGGCCCAACAATCAAATACAACTATATGTCACGTTCCTGGTACACCATTGGAGACAGTATACTTGATACACCGAAAAAGCAAAAGCTGTTGTTTTTTTCAAAACTTTCACTTTGTGCCACAATTACACATTATCCTTGGTAACCAG